ACACACACACACACACACACACACACACACACATATATATATATATTATACATTTATGTATATATATATATGCATGTGTATATTTGTATAGTTTTTATGTGTATATGTGTGTTGTATAGGTTCGTCCAGCTCCCTCACCTTCTCGGCTTACGACCAACTCGGTCCAAACAGGCACTCGCAGACTACACACATCTCATTGCGACATTCAGAGAGGAACACAATGCTCACAACGCACCCGTCATTGCGTTCGGTGGTTCGTACGGAGGCATGCTGAGCGCCTGGTTCAGGTATCCACCATACGTTAATGTGTATACGTATTTGTGTATGGATCTTCGTATGTGAGTATATGTGTATGCATGGATGTCCGAATGCATATGCGGAAATATGTTTATCGACACGTATATATGCATGTATTGACACGTATATATGTATGTATTGACACGTATATATGTATGTATTGACACGTATATATGTATGCATTGACACGTATATATGTTTGTATTGACACGTATATATGTATGTATTGACACGTATATATGTATGTATTGACACGTATATATGTATGTAATGACACGTATCTATGCATGTATTGTACCTTCATGTATGGATTTAGGTGTCTATACATCGGATTGCAATCGGCGTGTCTTCACACGTGCATACTTATAACCCGAGTTCATGTCCCCATGTCTGTGTACGTTTATGTGTAGTCTCGTTGCTATGTTGTGTTACCTAGAGTCTGTGTACGTTTATTTATAGTCATGTTGGGATGTTATGTTACCTAGTGTCTGTGTACGTTTATTTATAGTAATGATGGTATGTTATGTTTCTTAGTGTCTGTGTACGTTCATCTGTAGTCATGTTGGTATGTTATGGTACCTATTGTCTGTGTACGTTTATTTATAGTCATGTTGGTATGTTATGTTACCTAGTGTCTGTGTACGTTTATTTATAGCCATGTTGGTATGTTATGTTTCTTAGTGTCTGTGTACGTTTATCTATAGTCATGTTGGTATGTTATGGTACCTAGTGTCTGTGTACGTTTATCTATAGCCTTGTTGGTATGTTATGTTACCTAGTGTCTGTGTACGTTCATTTATAGTCTTGTTGGTATGTTTTGTTACCTAGCTTGGATGTAGTAGTTGCTGAGTATAGTTCTGGTATTCCTGGGTGCATGTACTCAACCCGTTTGTTGCTCAAGGCATGCGCATTCGAACACGCCCGCCCCCTTCCCCTCAAACCTCAAACCCTGCAATCTAAAACCCTACACCTTACACCCTATAACTTTAAGAAAACCCTCCCCCCAAATATATAACACATTGTGCATCTTCATACCCTTTCTAAAACACGCGCGTGGTCTCACGCACAGACTGAAGTATCCGCATGTAGTCGACGGGTCAATCGCCTCCAGCGCTCCCATCGCCGGTTTTGAGAAAGACTGGGACAGAGGGTCGTACTGGAAGGTGTGGGTATTACCAATCATGGGTGTTCCACTTATGAATACGTGTGTGTGGAGGTAGTACTGGAAGGTGTGGGTATTACCAGTCATGGGTGTTCACTTATGAATACGTGTGTGTGCAGGTATTCTGTTTAGTGCTATGATCTAATTATAGATTTCCCAGTGGTTGGTTAATACCTAAACTGTGTAAAATACGTATGTGTGTAGAATACATATGTGTGTAGGTATTCAGTTAAGCGCTGTGATCCGATTTTTTGGTAAACTCTGAAAGTCTTATTACGCCTCTGTTAATGCGAGTTAGCACTTCTCCGCGCAGGGGGGTTTTTTTTATTGTAAAACCGGTTTCTGAAGGTTTGTGACACGGTGTTCGAACTCGAGGGAACTCACATTTGTAACATACACACATACCTCCACAATCATATAGATGCAAGAACACACACAGACACACACACACACACACCCACCCACCACTCACGCATACAACACATACATAGTATACACAACACACACACACACACACACACACACACC